TAAAGGAAATTCTCTCTGAATTGTACCAGTTCATATATTTCTTTCCCATGAACTTCAATCAAATTCTTTTGTACTAGTCACCTACTATGGGATAACGGTTTCTAGCTGGTGTGTGTCATCTGTGCTTCAAGATGGTTTAGCCAAAATCTTTTCTCATGCAACACAAATGCTGTGGCTATTTCTTTATGTGCTGCTCTGAATCTGGAACGTTATTGGAGCAAAGGCAAGAAGAGCAACAGCAGATTATGTTTGTGAATGTCTTGCAGACAAGGCAAGCGCTCTCCCCACTGTACTATCACTCGAACCCTCAGAAATTCAATTTCAAAGTCTGAAATTTAGAATGAAGCATTTGAAAGTAAGCTACTGGGGCTGGAATGATAGTACAGCAAGTAGGGCATTTGCCTTGCATGCGTGTGACCCAAGTTCAATTCCCAGCATCTTATATGATCTTTCAGCACCCCTGAGCACCCCCAGGAGTCATTCCTGAGTGCAGAGCCAGGAGTAACCCCTGTGTATCGCTGGGCTACGTCAAAATACCAAAAGAAATAGTAAGCTACATCTTCTAGTTGGTCTCACCATTTCTGTTATCATAACTGAGGTAGTTGAGGGTGCAAATAAAATTAGAACATTCTAGGGGAGAAGATGATAGAAATATATTTTAGAATTGGACCTCAGGAGCATACCTAGTAATGCAGACCTACACATGTGACACACTCTCACTCTCTTTCTCTCTCTCTCCCATTCCCTTTGTTAGCTTTGTACATCTTTCTTCATTCCACTTTGTTCTTCCTACTCTTCCATTCCCTAATGACCACTCTTTCATGAGGGAACACCCATTAATTCAACAGACCTACATTAACACACACTCGTCACGGAGGATCCACAGGACACCAAACTGGTTGATCCACAAAACCAATAAGAATAAAATTATTGTCACATATCCTGCCTGAGCCCAAGTGCTGCTTGTGCCCACGTGGCCAAGCACATGTGTTGCCCGCATCTCCCGTCTTGAGATGTGGACTTTCATGCTTTCCTCTCTAATGCTGGAGTGTGTGTAGGGCTCCCTCTGCCCTTGAAGAAGCCCGGGTTCTCTCTTGAGTGTGTTACTCTCCACTCTCTCCCACTTTCTCTCCCTCCCTCCCTTCAAAACCTCCAAGTAAAATCTACTTCAAAAAAAAATAAAATTATTTCCCGTGGTTCCAGTATTAGTGTTCATTCTAAGAGTTCCAGCTTCATTCTAAGACTTCCAGTCTTGGTCTAGATGAAAAAGCAGACCAGGGACCATGTTAAATAAATCCCCAATATGTTAATAAACCCCCAATATCCTCTGGCATCTCAGACACAGCAATGATTTGACCTGTATGAATCAGGACACTGCTGAATTTAAGAGAGGTCGGGCAAGGTCAACCAAGGCAGCACAATTTCTAGGAGAGAGAAGCTCAGAAAGGAGATGTTCCATCAGGCTTCAGGTCTGGTCCATCCAGAGCAAAGGAAGGAAGATTCAAGATGGAAGCCATTGTCTCTATTCCCTGTTCATTGGTTTAAGTGTAGTAGATTCTGTCCCAGGAAGAAGGACCCACAGACTCAATTTAACTTGAACATGGGTAGATAATGTGTGACATGGGCAAGTAAACAGAACTCGCAAGTGAAATGAGTCAGAAAGAGAGGGATAGACATAGAATGACTGCACACATTTGTGGAATATGAAATATCGTAATATGAGACTGATATCCCAGGACAGTAGAGACAGGGCCAGGAAGATTGCTCCACTGTTGGAAACCTGCCTCAGGAAATCAGGCAGCTGGGATAGAGAAATGATCACTAAGTAAATGAGGGTTGGAAGGATCACTGGGAATGGAAGATGTGTGCTGAAAGTGGATAAAGGACCAAACATGATGGCCTCTCATTATGTGTAATCTGTATTGCAAACCATAATACCCATAAGTAGAGAAGAGAGAGTAAGAGGGAAATTGCTTGCCATAGAGGCAGGGGTGGGGGCGGGCCGGGGAGTGGCGGGGAGGGATACTGGGGACATTGGTAGTGGAAAATGTGCACTGGTGAGGGATGGGTGTTCAGTCATTGTATGACTGAAACCCTAACATGAAATCTTTGTAACTGTAGCTCATGGTGATTCAATTTTAGAATAAATAAATAATAGTTTTTTTTTAAAGTGGAACTCTGGGTAGGAAGCGATAGCACAACGGGTAGGGTGTTTGCCTTGCACTGACCTGGGTTCGATTCCCAGCATCCCCTATGGTCACCAGGAGTAACCCCTGTGCATTGCCGGGTGTGACCCAAAAAGCAAAAAAAAAAAAAAAAACCAGAACTCCCTGTTTTTGGAAAAAGGAGCACAGCTTTCTAATGTTGTTTTAAAGACCTCAAGCACACAGAAAGTTGGTTTTCTTGTTTGAATTGCTGTGATTATGACAATGAGGGTCCAGAGTGACATTCACCCTAATGCATTGACTCTCACCACAAAGCAATAGGGAACCCAAATTGTTACTTCTTGCTTGCCTTTCAAAAAAAATTATTACTGATTAGGGAGGAGAAGGGCAGAGAAGGAAAGAAATTGAGAGAGTGAGGAAGAAGATGAGGAAGGGAAGTAAGGGAGAACATGGGGCCAGAGGGCTCGGGTATGTTGGTAATATGGAGGGGTGGTATAGCTCTACTTCCAAACTCAACAACACTGAAAACATCAGATCCAGACTACAACCACCAAACTTTAAAATGTACCTGTTACCAGGAGGACTGGCCTATGTTTGGAAGCTTGCTAAATATGGCAGAGGAGGAAGGGCAGTTAGGATAGAGAAGTCCTCTGACAGTGATGGTTGAAAATGTTCATTTTGTCCCACCCTGCCTCTGTGGCAGGGCGCTCCCTTTTGTTCTCTCTCTCCTTTTGGGTGGGAGGGCTACTGGGATTAGTGGTGGTGGAGAATGGGCACTGGTGGAGGGATGGGTGCTCAATCATTGTATAACTTAAACCCAAGCACAAAAATTTGTAAGTCTACAACTGTACCTCAGGTGTTTCACTAATTAAAAAAAAATTTTATATTTTTTAATTTTTATTAGTGAAACACCATGAGGTACAGTTGTAGACTTACAAATTTTTGTGCTTGGGTTTCAGTCATACAATGATTGAGCACCCATCCCTCCACCAGTGTCCATTTTCCACCACCACAGGTCCCAGTATCCCTCCCACCCCCCATCCCACCCTGCCTCTGTGGCAGGGCATTCCCTTTTGTTCTCTCCTTTTAGGTGCTGTGGTTTGCAAAAGAGGCATTGAGTGGCAATCATGTTCGGTCTATAGTCTACTTTCAGCATGCTTCTCTCATCCTGGGAGGATCCTCCCAACACCCTTTATTTGGTGCTCCCTTCTCTATCTGAGCTTCCTTTTTCCCTAGCATGTATGGCTGGTCTCCAAGCCATGGAGCAAACCTCCTAGCACTAATCTCGGCCACTCTTGGGTGTTAGTCTCCTATTTTGTTACTTTATGTTCCCCAAATGAATTGCAATCTTTCTATGTCTATCCCTCTCTTTCTGACTCATTTCTCTTAGCATGATACCTTCCATATTGTACCACTTGCATGTAAATTTCATGACTTCATCTTTTCTAACAACTACATAGTACTCCATTGTGTAAATGTACCAAAGTTTCTTTAACCAGTCATCTGTTCTCGGGCACTCAGGTTTTTTCCAGATTCTGGCTTCACTAACAAAAAATTTTTTTAAAAAGTCAATAAAATTTGGGGCTGGAGCAATAGCACAGCGGGTAGGGCATTTGCCTTGCATGCAGCCAACATGGCTGACACAGGTTCGATTCCCAGCATCCCATATGGTCCCCCGCGCACCGACAGGAGTGATTCCTGAGTACATGAGCCAGGAGTAACCCCTGAGCATCGCCAGGTGTGACCCAAAAAAAAATTTTTTTAAAGTCAATAAAATTAAAAGCCAATAAAAGCAGATTTTAGTCATTAAAAAAAGAAAGAAAGAAAATTATCACTCTGGACAAAAAAAAAATGAGTGCTGAGAGGAGATAAGTGTGAAAGGTTATACCTGACAACTTTTCAGTACTTATATTTCAAATCATAATGCTCAACAGGAAAAAAAAGAGAAAGAGAGAGAGAGAAGAAAAGTGCCTGCCACTGAGGCAGGCTTGAGTGGGGCAGGAAGGAAACTGGGAACATTGGTGGTGGGAAATGTACACTGGTAAAGGGAATGGGGTAGGAGCACTGTATGACCGAAACCCAATTGTGAACAATTTTGTAACTGTGTACCTCATAATTATTCTAATTAATTAATTTTTTAAATGTGCCTGTTAAGGAGGTAGACTGCGGGAGAGAGGGCACACGGGAGCACAGGTAGACGGAAGTTAATACCGGTGGTGAAGTTGGTGCTGGAACATTATTATCAATACCTTTGTAAGCAACTTATTTTTGATGTCGACTCACCCACCTGTCCTGCTCTACCTATTAAAACTTTTTTTTCTTATTTTGTAAAGCAGGGCTGGAGGGGCTGGAGAGATAGCACAGTAGGTAGGGTGTTTGCCTTGCACACTGCCAATGCAGGTTCGATTCCCAGCATCCCATATGGTTCCCCTGAGCACCGCCAAGAATAATTCCTGAGTACAGAGCCAGGAGTAACCCCTGTGCATTACCGGGTGTGATCCAAAAAGGAGAAAAAAATAGCAGGGCTGGAGCAATAGCACAGCGGGTAGGGTGTTTGCCTTGCACGTGCCAGACCCGGGTTCGATTCCCAGCATCCCATATGGTCCCCCAAGCACCACCAGGAGTAATTCCTGAGTTCAGAGCCAGGAGTAACCCATATGCATTGCCGGGTGTGACCCAAAAAGCAAAAAATTTTAAAAAATGGTATTACTGAGATAACATTGCAGTAATTCAGGTGATGACAGAGATTTGTGATTTCGGTATATACCAAAATGATTACTACCTGACTTAGCATCAATACATAGCACCATAAATAATGTCCAAGTTATTGGTGTGATGGGAGTTTTTACAATCTATGGTTTCAGTAAACTTGAAACACGGTATGCTGGTATTATCAGTTCTGTTGAACGTGATGAACAACTAACTACACAGGACTTATGTTTGGAGGATTCTATTCACCTTACATCAAGCCCAGTTGTTGAGAAAGGAGATAAATTGACACCAAATAAAGAATTAATGCAGGGCCTGGAGCAATAATACAGCGGGTAGGGCGTTTGCCTTGCACAAGACCAACCCGGGTTCGATTCCCGGCATCCCATATGGTTCCCTGAGCACCACCAGGAGTAATTCCTGAGTGCATGAGCCAATAGTAACCCCTGTGCAACGTCAGGTGTGACCCAGAAAGCAAAATTTTAAAAATTTAAAAAAAATAATTAATGCAGCTTAGGAACTGGAATGTGAATCAGAGTTCTAGAATTTGCCTTGCATGTGTGAAATCCCCAGGTCAATAAATAGCAAAAATATCTGCAAAAAACTTCATCAAACAGTTTCTATGGAAAAAAGGTCAAAAAATGTTATTATATTATTCTCATACATAGTCCATATTAAGGAAACTAGTTGCCTTGTATTTGAATACAATACAGTATTCACTGTCACTGTCACTGTCCTCCCGTTGTTCATCAATTGCTCGAGTGGCCCCAGTAACGTCTCCATTGTGACAATTGTTACTGTGTTTGGCATATCGAATACATCACGGGTAGTTTGCCATGCTTTGCCGTGTGGGCGAGATAGTCTCGGTAGCTTGCTGGTCTCTCCGAGAGGGGCAGAGGAATCGAACTCGGGTCGACCATGTTGGCCGCTTGTAAGGCAAACGCCCTACCCGCTGTGCTATCGCTCCACCTCACAATACACTATTACTTTCTTTTTAATGTATTACTTTCTTAATTAGAAGGGTTTTTTCCTACAGGAGACTCTAGATGTCTTAGTCCCCTTTTTATTCACTTGCAAGAAGTTGGTTGCCCTTTGACTGGGTCTTTGGATTTTTTAACTTTTAAATATCATGGGAGAGAAACAGGGTACCGTGGTGCTGGGAAATGTACACTAGTAGAGGGATGGGTGTTGGAACACTGTAGGACTGAAACTTAATCATGAACAGCTTTGTAAGGGTCTATCTCGCAGTGATTCAATAAAAAAAAAGATGAAATAATTAACATCACTGTTATTCCCTTCATTATCTCAGTCTTTCCAAAGTGTATCTCTACAGAACAGGAGGATGGCTCAAATGCCAGTGAAAAGTTGTGTGAAGAAACTCTGTCACAACAAAGAAATCGAGCTGAGGGACTGGAGCAATAGTACAGTAGGGGATTTGCCTTGCACGCAGTTGACCCGGGTTTGATTCCCAGCATCCCGTAGGGGCCCCCGAGCACTGCCAGGAATAATTCCTGAGTGCATGAGCCAGGAGTAACCCCTCTTCATCTCTGGGTGTGACCCAAAATAAGAAAAAAAAGAAAGAAAGAAATAGAGCTGAAAGTCTATAGGATTCAGCTGTAATTACTATATTGGTGAATTGCTTAAATCCAAAATGTACACACAGTGCCAGGGACCTGTATGTCTGCTAATCACTCCCATTTATTTTTCCCCAAGGTGTCTCTGCTCCGTGAACCCACAAAATGTCACAGGCACCATGGAATTCCTCCTCCTGGGGCTCTCAGATGATCCCCAAGTCCAGCCACTCCTTTTTGGCCTCTTCCTGTCCATGTACCTGGTCAGCATCACGGGGAACCTGCCCATCATCCTGGCCGTCAGTTTTGACCCCCGTCTGCACACACCCATGTACTTTTTCCTCTCCATCCTGTCCACGGCTGACATTGGTTTTATCTCCTCCACGGTGCCAAAGATGATTTGGGACATTCACACTCAGAGTAGAACCATCTCCCCTGCAGGCTGCCAAGTACAGATGTCTATTTTTATTCTTTTCGGCTGTATGGACAGTTTGCTTCTCACAGCGATGGCGTATGATCGCTTTGTGGCTATTTGTCACCCCCTGCACTACTCTGTCATCATGAACCCCCGTCTCTGTCGTTTGCTAGCTCTGGCGTCTGTTTGCATCAGTCTGTTGGACTCTCAGTTACACAGCTTGATGGTGTCACAGCTCACCTTTTGCGCCCATGTGGAGATTCCTCTCTTCTTCTGTGACCTCCTTCAACTCCTCAGCCTTGCCTGTGGAGATACATCCACCCACAACCTACTCATGTATTTTATCACTGCAATCTTTGGTGGTGTACCAGCCTCCGCAATTTTTTACTCTTACACAAGAATTGTGTCCTCTGTTTTGAAGGTCTCATCCACAGGAGGAAGGTCCAGAGCCTTCTTCACCTGTGGCTCTCACTTGTCTGTTGTTTGCTTATTTTACGGAACAGGCATTGGGGTGTACCTCAGCTCAATAATCTCCCATTCACCCGGTAAAGGTGCAGTGACCTCAGTGATGTACACAACTGTCGTCCCCATGCTCAATCCCTTCATCTCAACTGTCGTCCCCATGCTCAATCCCTTCATCTACAGCCTGAGAAACAAGGACATCAAGCAGGCCTTCCAGAAGCTTCTCAATAAAGCAGTCTAATTTCAAGCTCCTGTTGTTTTCAATAAAGCATTAGAAATTATTGCAAAGCTCGGGGCTGGAGCAATAGCACAGCAGGTAGGGCATTTGCCCTGCACACGGCCAACAAGGGTTTGATTCCCAGCATTCCATATGGTCCCCTGAGCACTGCCAGGGGTTATTCCTGAGTGCAGAGCCAGGAGTTACCCCTGTGCATCGCCAGGTGTGACCCAAAAAGCAAAAAAAAAAAAAAGATTGCAAAGCTAACGTTAACAAGTACAGCTCCTCCATCCCACACATTTTACTCAAATACTTACTCCCCACCTACCAATCCTATAAGTGCCAAGTTTGCTTCCTTGAACTCTTAGTAAGAGTGAGAAAATGTTCTGGGATCAAACAAGTGTCTACAACAAACCTTAGGGGCCGGAGCCAAAGAACAGCAGAGAGAATTCTTGCCTTGCATACTTCAGACCTGGGTTTAATTCCCGGGCACCCCATAAGGTCTCCCAAACACTGCCAGGAATAATTCCTTAGTGCAAAGTCAGGAGTTACCCCTGAGCGTCGGTGGGTGTCACCCCAAAGCAAAACAAATCCTGGGCTTGGAAAAAGCGTTTCAGCTCAGAGACACATCACAGCTGTCTTGTCTCAGGCAGGCGGGTCTCCAGACCCAGATCTCTGAAGCTTTCTCTGGATGAGGGATAGCCAAGTCCCCACCTTGGAAAGCCCAACACTCCACCAACACCAGACTTCCAGCCGGCATATACACACCCGGGCTGTTAAATCATTCCGGTCTTCAGCTACTGGAGCACGCATATGCAACCACATATGCAGCCATGCAATATCTCCAGATTTCACAGTGCTGACTGCCTAGCAGGATCACAGTAAGTTAGATGGGAAAGCTGCTTAGAAGCCCACCGAGGTTAGTGAGTGAGGATAGGGACACGGAAGCACCTAACAACTCAGTCATCTTCAGTGACTTTAGTAGCACAGTTGTGATATATATATTGTAAAAGGAATATAGGGGCTGGAGCAATAGCACAGCGGGTAGGGCGTTTGCCTTGCACGCGGCCAACCCAGGTTCAATTCCCAGCATCCCATGATCCCCTGAGCACCGCCAGAGGTACTTCCTGAGCGCAGAGCCAGGAGTAACCCCTGTGCATTGCTGGATGTGACCCAAAAAGCAGAAAAAAAAAGGAATATAAAGTCAATTTTGTGCCTGCTGAAGGGATAGGTTTGAGGGGTGAGAGGGAAAATGAGGACCTTGGGGAAAGGAAGGTCACACTGATAGTGGGATTGGTGCTGGAACATTGAATGCCTAAAAATATAAATTTTTGTTTCTTAGCCCACGCCCAGTAGTGTTCAGTGGTTACTCAGGGATCACTCCTGGAAGATTTGGGAGATCCCATGAGGTGCCAGGGATTGATCCTGGGTCAGAGCCTGCAAGGCAAGCTCCCTCCCCACTGTACTATCACTTCAGTCCCTGTAAACAACTGTATTAAGAACAACTTGATTCATCAGTGTTTAAAGAAAATTTCAAACCTTTGTTTTTTAAATTGGGGCTGGATGACAGTTTAAAAAACTTTGGAATACTATGCAGCAGTTAGGAAAGATGAAGCCATGAAATTTGCTTATAAGTGGATGGTCATGGAGAGTATCATGCGAAGTGAAATGAGTTAGAGAGGGCCAGACATAGAATGACTGCACTCCTTTGTGGAATATAAAATAACATGAGACTGACACCCAAGGACAATATACACAAGGGCCAGGAAGATTGCTCCATGGTTGGAAGTCGGCTTCATGAGCTGGAGGAGAAGGCAGCTGGGATAGAGAAGGGATCACTAAGTCAATGAGGGTTGGAGGGATTGTTCGGGATGGGAGATGTGTGCAGAAAGTAGATAAAGGACCAAATGTGATGACCTCTCAGTATCTATACTGCAAGCCATAGTGCCCAAAAGTAGAGAGAGCGTATGGGGAAATTATCTGCCATAGAGGCAGGGGGAGGGTTGGGATGGGGGGTGGGCACTGGGGACATTGGTGGTGGAAAATGTGCACTGGTGGAGGGATGGGTGTTCGATCATTGTATGACTGAAACTCAAATATGAAAGCTTTGTAACTATCTCACGGTGATTCAATAAAAAATTATATTTATATATTTAAAAATTGGGGCTGGAGAAATAGTACAGCAGCCATAAAGCAGGAATTGCTGTTTTGCCACAATTTTGCGGTTGTTCCCATACTAACAAATCTGGCTCAAAAGTGTTGCTGTGAATGTGGAAATAATTTTTCCTTTGGATTTTTCTGAGGACAAAAAAGACTATGAAGATAATGAAAAGATTTTTAAAAAAAGACAATGGGGGCTGGGGCGATAGCACAGTGGGTAGGGTGGTTGTCTTGCACGCAGCCGGCCAGGGTTCAACTCCCAGCATCCCATATGATCCCCCAAGCACCGCCAGGAGTAACCCCTGAGTGCAGATCCAGGAGTAACCCCTGAGCATGGCAGGGTGTGACCCAAAAAAAAAAAGGCTGTTAAATCTACACAAGTGACTATTGATTGTAATAATCTGAAATTTATACTCTATAATTATATAAATATACCTATGAAATATGTCAGTAATCATGTAATTATAAATGGGAATTCTGCCATGTATTATATATTATGCTACATGTACTTAGCAATTGTATGACCTATATAAAGTATGATTGTGAGATGCATTATATAATCATATATAATACGTGCTAGTCAATAGCCATGTATAATTACAATGTTGCACATAACTATTCTATTATGCAATGTAACCTCTGATTGTTATATGATTAATGAGTAATATGAGTAATTTGAGTAACAGCACTGTAATAGCACCATCCTCCCATTGTTCTTCGATTTGCTTGAGCAGGCACCAGTAACATCTCCATTGTGAGACTTATTGTTACTGTTCTTGGCTTATCGAATACGGACAGGTAGCTTGCCAGGCTCTGCGTGCAGGCAGGATACGCTTGGTAGCTTGCTGAGCTCTCCAAGAAGGACGGAGGAATCGAGCCCAGGTCAGCTGCATGCAAGGCAAACACCCTACCCGCTGGGCTATTGCTCTGCCATGATTACATAAGTAATATGAACAATTATGTGATCATAACAACTACCAAGCCTGATTCCAGAGAGAATCAGGGCAGAACATGGAATAGGGAAGAAGCCCAGTGTGGAGGGGCGCCAGGAACAGCCCAGCTGCCCCCCAACTCTGCAGGCAAGAGGAGAGCCAACCAGCCCAGTGCTGGGTCCTGAACTGCACCCCCACCCAGTGCTAAAACTCCCCCAAGCCCTGCCCTGGGTCAGCCCGCGGCGCTGGACAGACTTGACACATGTCCACTCTCCATGAGGTTTATTTCCCATAAAAATCCCCCCCGCCCCCGCCAGCCCACGAAAGGGACGCCTCCACATCACACATCCCCTGACCGGAAGGAGCCATTTCTGGTCTTTGACGTCTGCTCACCACACCACCCCCAGGAGCCCCCCCTTCAAAGGGTCTCAGAGCCGGCCCAGAGCATGGCCCACCCCGCTGCTAGCCAAGGCCCTGACCCACCACACCTCACACCTCGACCCAAACTTCCGTTCACGTCCAGCTGAGCCTCCGGCGCTGCAGTAGCCTTAGAAAGCAGCCAAGAGGGGCAACAGCCAGCAACCCAGGTTCGACGCCCTTGGCTGACCTGATGTCAAAAACCCAACTCCAGGCGACAGGAGGCAGGACTTGTACAAGGGTATCAAAAAAGATGCTCTTCAGAGGCTGTGACCCAGCCCACCTGGACAGTTGCATTTGACCTGAGCCGTCCCATGCCCGTGGACACGGCTGCTCCCGGGGTCCGTTTATTGCAGAGGGGCTGTTGGGGCCCCTGGTTCCACTGTGCTGTTGGTGGCCCAGGCAGGCAGGTTAGGGTGTGGAGACCAGAGTCCATGCTGGAATTTCTGGGGTAGCCAGCCAGCTCCCTGCACCAGCTATCTGAGAGGGAAACTGCCTTTGCACCCCCTCCCAAAGTTCCAGCCGTCCAGGAATCACTGCATTTGCGGGGACGGGAGGAGTCTGCAGAGGTGAGGGAACCGGGAACGGAAGATTTGAGGGGAGGGGGCCAACAGAACAAGCCACCCACCAGCCCCTGCTACCTCCAAGTCCAGGGCTGACACCCCCCGACGATGGCCCTTAGCTCACATTCAGGAATCAGCAGAGACGATAGTGCAGCCCCCTCCCCAAAGTCCCTGCTCCTTAACAAGGGGTTCAGCATGGAGTACCAGAAGACAGCGGCCACACCCACTCAGAACCCAGACCAAGTGGGCACAGCTGGCTCCCACAAAGCTGGGCAGCCCTTCTGGGTACTGAAGGCCACTGGGTCCATCCGGGCCAGCCAGGTAAGGCCAGGCACACCCCATCCCCGCCTTGAAGTCTGAGAAACATCTGATGCGTCCACTGTGGTCCAGAACCTCATGGTCGCCATCCTGAGGTCGCTGGTTGAGCCTCCGTGGCACTGGCTAGGAACCCAGAGATGGCGCCTTTGGACCAAGATGAAGAGACTCTGTATTGGGTTGCTTCCTGCAGGCTCGCTGCCTTCTTCCAAGCCTCCAGAGTCAGGGATGCGGGTCTCAGCTGGTAAAGTCTGGGCTCTGCCAGAAAGTTTGGCTTCACCAGCAAAGTCTGTCTTCTCCTTTGAAAGTGGCCAGCTGCAGAGTTCCAGCAAGCTCCAGGCATTCCTCTGTTCAAATGATCTTCCAAATTGTGTGTTTGGGGGAGCAGAAGGGAGGGCATAGAGCAATAGGACAGCAGGTTGGGCATCTGCCTTGCATATGGCAGACCCAGGTTCGATCCCCAGCATCCCCTAGGATCCCCCTGACCCCCGCCAGGAGTGATTCCTGAGTGCAGAGCCAGGAGGAACCCCTGAGTATTGCCGGATGTTACCAAAAAAACCCAAAACAAAAACTCTCCGAGACTGGATAACCCAGATAACCTGTGGTCCCTCTCACGGCCACTTTTCCAGGACAAGTTCGTTTCTCTGTCTCTACTACCACCACTACTGCGAGGGCACCGGGATGGCATCCAGGCAGCTGATGTCTGGAACACGAACAGGTTTGGAGAGGAGGGGCGTGGGCCGGTGTCAGCCCACCGACTGTTCTTGTCTGAGAAGAGTCTCAAACGAGGGGTGGGCGCTGGTTCTGGAGCTGATCATCGAGGCTGACAAGCAGTGACCGTCCCTTGTGCTCGGATCCCGATAATCCCAGAGAGAATGAGTGGGGAAGGGGGGAGGGGCGGGTGGGGACCATGGGTGGGCATCCTTGCCAGATGCCCAGGGCACCATTCTGGGGGCAAAGGCACCAAGGACAAATCTAGAGCCTTCCCCGGGAAGCTGACTCCAAGCCAGGTCAGGCCGCAGGGAAGAGACGGGTCACCAAGTGGGGTTTTGTGAGGTGGAGGTGGGGACCTCAGATTCTCGGAGGAGGGAGGGGCAGGACGCAGGTGCTGGGCGGGGGTCTCCAATGACAGGGGCACACTCTGGCCGCTTGCTCTTCTCAGCCAGCCGCCCTCTGAAGACCGAGGATGATGCAGGGCTGGGAGCCCAGCCCCTCTCTGGAATGCTCTACCGCTGCCATTTGAAAACCCATTTTCGAGCGGCTAAAAAAAGGATGCTGGGTTTCAGAGATGGACAGGGGCGACGGGGCCCCCTGGAGACCGGGACGAGGCAGGGATGAGATCTGGAGCTGGCGGGCATCTGACGAGAGGTTTCTCAGTGTCTGGAATCTTCTCTCCCATCTTCTGTTCTCCTGTCACCTTAGGACATGCTGACAAGGGAGGAACGCAGGACGCGTTATTTAGAGGTTTCTGAGGTGGGCAACCTTAATCCCGATGTGTGGGGTCTGAAAGGATAATGTAGCTTGACTCTTCGGGGAGGCCTTGGTACCCAAGGAGGGTCCCTGCGCTTTTTGAAGCTGCCCCCAGGTTCCAGTGTGGTTCTGAGGAGGTTGTCCCTTGGAATATCGACAGACTTTATAGCTATGGTCTCACACAGCTGGGAGAGTTGTTCAATGTCCCACCTAACCATTCAACCATCATCCACCATTCACCACTCCTCATCTATCCACTGACCCACCCATCCATCCCTCTGTCCACCCATCATCCATTTCCCCATCCATTCATCTCTCCATCTCTTGATCTCCCCATTATCCATCCATGACTCATCTTCCATCCCTCCATGTGCTTTCTTCTTTATCTTAGATAAATACTGCATGTGCAATTCATCCCCTTTATCTGAGATTCTCGGGAGGGTCCTAATTACTTCGTTTGCCATATCTGTGCTTTGCTCTCTAGGTGGATGATTTCCACTGGATACAAACTCATCTTCCAGTGGGTATGAGTTGAGATTTTGGGTTTTGCTTTTTTTGTTTGTTTTTTGAGGGGGGATGGTGGGAGATGGTCATTTCAAAACTTCACAAAGTTTTGTGTGGAAAGGGAACCTGCCTTGCTCAAGGCCAACTCTGGTTTAATCCGTGGCATCCCACAGAGTCCCCAGAGCACCACCAGGAGTAACCCCTGAGCTTTGTTGGGTGTGGCCCCAAAACAAACTATATAGAAAGCTCGACTGTCTTCACCATCTGGTGGAGGCGGGGGGTAGGTGGGCAGTGGTATTCCAAAATTTTTTCCTTAGTTTTCTGATCACACCCAGCGATGCTCAAGGGTTACTCCTGGCTCTGCACTCAGGAATCACTCCCAACAGAGTTCGGCAGACCAGAGGGGATACCGGGGACTGAACCTGGGTGAGGTGCGTGCAAGCCCAGCGCCCGCCCCACTGTCCTATCTCAGCAGCCCACATGAAGACAGGGTTTTGGGTTTTTTGGGGTTTTTTTTCCAGTTTATCCACCTGATGCGTCCTGAACCACAGTGGGCTGGTAGGAAGGGCTGTGCACAGGCGGTAACAGGTGAGAGCTGTCCCCTCGGAACCCCTGAGGTGAGCTACCTGGTGGGGGGGGGGTCTTTTTTCAGGAAGTGGTCACAGCAAGTGGTCCATGCTAACAGCGTGATGGGCACAGGGGCGGGGTGTGATGCACGGGACCATCGTCCCAAATCCTGGAGACACGATGGGTGATGACCAAGCACGTAGGTATCCCCATGCCAGTGTGGCAGATTCCCCAAGAAGTGCCCATCACATGGGCCCCGGTGAACTTGGGAACACCAGGGCATGCCGGGATAAGGACTATGTGGGCAAGAGAACGTCAGGGACACAGTCACCCAGCCCCAAGCTCGCTGCCTTCACCACTGCGCATGCCCCCCCCTCCATCCCTCCCGGCCAAAGCCTGGCCCCGAGGGCAGCATGTGGGCGTGGCTTTTTCTGGGGTGGTCCAGGGGCAGCTGAGACCCCTCGCTGCTGAATCTGACATCCCAGGTGTCAGGGGCTGACAAGTAGGTCGCCTCCGGGACCTTTTGACGCTGCCCCACCCTCTGCTGGGCTCATGCAGGACGCCCACCCTCAAAGCCACGAACCTTCGGGCTCCTGCTGTGGGGCAGATGCCAGGACGGGAGGGCAGGAAGGCCTCCAGGCTCGCTCCGCTCCACAAACCCACCTCGTCTCCGCCTCTTTCGCAGCAGGGGCGGACCTGGAGAGGGGGGAATAATCTCCACGTGAGTCCCAGGAACCTAGCGGGCAGCGCCCCACGCCCAGGGGCTGTCTTGGGAGCTGGAGCGATAGTCCAGCGGGGAAAGCGTTTGCCTTGCACGCAGCTGACCCGGGTTCGATTCCCAGCATCCCATAGGGTCCCCTGAGCACTGCCAGGAGTAATTCCTGAGTGCAGAGCCAGGAGCAACCCCTGAGCATCGATGGGTGTGACCCAAAAAGCAAAATCATCATCATCATCACCATCATCATCAACATCATCATCATCATCACTGTCATTGTCACTGTCCTCCCACACTGTTCATCGATTTGCTCAAGCGGGCCCAGTAACATTATGAGACTTGTTACTGTATTTGGCATATCGAACATGTTACGGGTAGCTTGCCAGGCTTTGCAGCGCGGGCGAGATACTCTCAGTAGCTTGCTGGACTCTCTGAGAGAGGTGGAGGAATCGAACTTGGGTCAGCCGACCGGGCTGCACTCAAGGCAAACGCCCTACCGCTGTGCTATCGCTCCAGCCCAATAACAATAATAATAAATAAAACTGTCTTGGTGTCTAAGAAAACAGTGAGATGCCTGGATTGGGGAGGGGCCCTCTTGGGGGGGGGGGGGGGCTCCCTAACAGACACTGGCCAGAAGCTTCCTGTTAACAGGACGTGGCCCCCACAGTCCTGGGCCAGGGCTCTCCTTTCACGTCCGGAAGCAGGAAGCCTGGCTCAAGCCACAACCGACAGAAAAGGCATCTGGTGGGGTCAAAGTGACAGCACAGCCTTGCTGGCCTTGCACACAACGGACCCGGGTTTGATTCCCGGCAGCCCCTAAGGTCCCCTGAGCCCCGCCAGGAGTAATCCCTGAGTGCGGAGCCAGCAGTCAGCCCTGAGCACCGCCGGGTGTGGCCCAAAAACCACGAAAGAAAAAAAAAAAGGCCAGGTGGAAGGGTAGGGCAGGGGCAACTGCTTTAGAGGTATCAGAAGTCCTTCTGGGGCAAAGAATGTTCTAGAGCCACAGTTTGAGCAAGCCCAGGGAATGCTTCTCCCCCAGAAAGGCTGGTATATTTGGATCTTATGTGAAATTCTCCTCCGTGTCATTAAAAAATGAAGTGGATAGAAATCGGTATTTGGAGCATCCCTGGTCTGGCCATGGTGACATGGGGGATATAAGGGCATTTAAGAGACGACAAGGTGACCTCCACCTTCGTTCACTGATGCAGCACCTGTTAGGGACGGGAGTCAGAGTGACAGCTCGGGGCATTGGCCTTGCACACCACCAGCCTGGATTTGATTCCCAGCACCCCACAGAGCCCCCCACCCCCTAACCCAAAGCTAACAGCTCAGTGTTGTCACTGTTAAGTGTCCCTGTGTGCAGACTTAAACGCCAGGCAGAAAAATAAAGTCATAAAATTTGCAGGACTTAAAAGGGGGCTAGAGCAGTAGCACAGCAGGTAGGACGTATGCCTTGCACGCGGCCGACCCGGGTTCGATTCCCAGCATCCCATAGGGTCCCCTGAGCACCGCCAGGGATAATTCTTGAGTGCAGAGCCAAGAGTAACTCCTGGGCATCACCGGGTGTGACCCAAAAAGCAAAAAAAAAAAAGAAAGAAAAGACGTATTATGAGACTAGTATCCCAGGACAGTAGAATCAAGAGCCAGGAGGGGCCACTATGACAGTGAGAGTTAGAAATGATCACACTGGAAAAGATAAACATGATCACCTTATAGTTCTTACATTGCAAACTATAATGTCTAAAAGGAAAGGGGGGTGAGGGAAGGAGGGAGGGAGAGAGGAGAGGGAGAAAGTGTCTGTCATAGAGGAAGGCTGGGGGGGGTGGCGGGAGGGAAACTAGGGACATTGGTGGTGGGAAATGTACACTGGTGAAGGAACAAGTGTTGGAATATTGTATGACAAACTCAATCATGAACAACTTTGCAACTGCATCTCACGGAGATTCAATTAAAACGTGTGTGTGTGTGTGTGTGTGTATGTGTGTGTGTGTCTATACATATAAATTCAAGGAAAATAAACTTTTTTTTTTCGCTTTTAGGGTCACACCCAACAATGCTCAGGAGTTAGTCTTGGCTCTGCACTCAGGAATTACTCCTGGCAGTGCTGGGGGGTGAGGTGGGGGGTCCTATGGGATGCCAGGGATCGAACCTGGGTCGGCCGCGTGCAAGGCAAACACCCTCCCTGCTGGACTATCGCTCTGCCCCCATCAAAGAAAATTTCTTAAATAAATAAAATGCCAGGCAGGCACGTGAAGTTATGATCCACACGTGTCCTACTTTTGCTCCTGGTGACACCGGACAGCCCAGGCATTAGAGAAATCATTATTCCTAGAACTGAAGATGGGACACGGCTCAGTGGGAGAGAGCGGACCTACAGACCCCAAGCAGCCCCCACCAGAAAAGGCTCTGCCTATCCACCAGGCCCCCCTTCCTTCTTTTCCTGGATGGAGGCCACCAATCTGGGTCCACCAGGGTCAATCTGGGACACACAGAAGCTGCTGCCATGTGAGGGACCAGCACGGACGCCAGGTCTACACGGGCCGTTAGCCCCACCCAGGCCCGGCCCCTCGCTCGCTCTCAGCCGACAGGGACTCGGCACCCGGGGACTCACCCGTCATCATCTTCCGCCGCCACTGCCGCTGGCTCTGGTCTCTCTAGAAGCCTGGGCGGGATGAAGTCCGGCTGTGGCCGTGCGCTGTGGACAAGGAGGCCACCAGCGATGAGAGGACAGCAGGACGAGCGGAGCCATGGCACCGTGGGGAGGCGCTGGCCCTGCACGCGGCCAACCCGGGTTCCGTCCCGGCACCCCATACGGTTCCCCGAGCCCCGCCAGGAGTGGTCCCTGAGCACAGAGCCAAGGAGTCAGCCCTGAGCATCACCAGGCGAGGACCCAAAAACAAAAGCAAAAGAAAAGAAAAATAAAACAATGAGACAGGGGCCAAGCGGGTGGGGCTGGAGCGATAGCACAGCGGGGAGGGCGTCTGCCTTAAAGGCAGCCGACACGGGTTCGATTTCCAGCATCCCATAGGGTCCCCCGAGCAACACAGGAGTAATTCCTCAGTGCAGAGGAGTAACCCCTGTGCATCGCCGGGTGTGACCCAAAAAGAAAAAAGAAAAAGAAGAATAGAAACAGGTGAAGGAGAGGGGAGTGTGTAGAACAGGAAAACCCATCCATGCCCCGGAGAGGGGGTGTGAGGGGGTCCACAGGGCGACCATGAGGAATCAAGTGACACCTTAGAAGATTATGCAGAAGTTTAAGGTCCATGAAACCATCTATGAAGAACAAAAAAAGGAAAAAGGAACGGAAACAATACAGCTCAGCTTCCAGAAAAAAAAAAATTGTCAGGATTCCAGAGAGAAGACCGAATGAGAATAACTGTTGGCTGAAAAAATATCAGGGGGGGCTGGAGCAATAGCACAGTGGGTAGGGCTTTTGCCTTGCATGCGGATGACCCAGGTTCTATTCCCAGCATCCCATATGGTCCTCCATGCACCGCCAGGAGTAATTCCTGAGTGCATGAGCCAGGAGTAACCCCTGTGCATTGCCTGGTGTGACCCAAAAAGGAAAAAAAAAAATCAGGGCCAGAAGCTGGAGCAATAGTACAGCAGGTAATGTTTTTGCCTTGGGCCAACCCAGGTTCGATCCCTGGCGTCCCTTGGGGGCCACCGCCAGGAGTAATTCCTGAGAAGCCCCTGACACAGAAAGCCAAGGGAAAACAAAAGTTCTAGATGTGCCTGGTCCCCTCCTTGAAGCTAATGAGAATGACAGGTAGGTTTGTCCAGAAAACAGAGCAATAGTACAGTGGGGAGGGCGTTTGCCTTGCATGTGGCCGACCCAACTTCAATTCCCAGCACCCCTTAGGGCCCCCCGAGCACCTCCCGGAGTTATCCCTGAGCGCAGAGCCAGGAGTCAGCCCTGAGCACCGCCAGGTGGGGCCCCAAAACACAGCGAAGAGAAAAAGAAGTCAAAAGGGGGCAAACAAGGGAAGAAAAGCATGAGGCACCCCTCCTCCTTCCAGAGCCTGGTTCTCTGGGGAAGAGGGGAAGCCCCTTTGCCAATATGAGGAACCTGCTGGACGCGGGCCCTGACTGATCACCAAGTCCACCTCGGCCAGCCGAGAACCTGGTGAGGGCGCCAACATTTTTACCCACAGGAAGTCCCAAGTATTTCCTGGATGTGCTGTGTGAGCTTGGCCAGGTGGAGGACCCTCTCTGAGAACTCCTGGACTCAGACATACACTGCCCTGCTCTGAAGGGGAAGGGGTGAGGGAAGAAGGGCTCAGTGGGGGGGAGGGGAGAGGGGCGAGTCCCGAGGGTCCTTGAACCACAGTGTGATCAGTCCTGTGCTGCCAGAGAGAAAGGAATGACAGGTTCAGACGGGGAAGTTTCCGGATGAAGGAGTGCGTGGGCTCGCCTGACTTCCGCCAAGGGCACATGTGACTCGGTCATTTCTGCCCTGAACCTCGAGGGAGCCCTTCATCACTCCTGTCTTTTCTAAGACGCCCCTTTCTCAACGGGGAGCCCCGAGGGGGACCCCAGGTTCAACACAAGCCCTCAGGAACAGAGCAGGGTTAAGGGGCAGGGACACAAGTCCCCGCACGCCCCGTCGAGGCTGGACACTCACCTCTCCCTCCGGGCTCTCAGTCGCTCCTCGTCGAACCTGCAGAAGACAACGTTGCTGAGCCCCGAGCCACCGTTCCCCTCACAGCACAGGAGGGAGGAACATGTCACTACTGTGGGCTGCGGGAGGGCCAAGAAGCAACCTGGTGTGAGTGCATGTGTGTGCATGTCCGTGTGTGTGTGTGCATGTGTGATGTACGTGCATGCAAGTGCACACATGGACTTGTATATGTGTCTACGTGTGTGCATGTATGCACCTGTACGTGTCTAGGCACATGTGGACGTGATATGCCTATGTGTGCATGTATGCACCTGCACATGTCTGTGTATGTGCATGTGTGTATGTGTCCGTGTGCGTGCATGTATGATGTGCATGTGTGCATATACCCCTGTACATGTGTGTCCTGTGCATGTGCATGTGATGTGTGTATGCACGTGTGCATGTGTGTTTGGGTGTGCATGTGTACACATGTGCACGTCTGCATGTGTGTGATGTATGTGAAAGTGAACGCGTGTGTGTGCGTGAGTATGCACCCATACATATGTCTATGGGTGTGTGTACGCAGTGCAAGTGTACGAATGCACATGTGCGTGTGTGCGTAGGTGTGCTTGTGTGTGGTGGGAGGGTCTGCACCTGCTTTACTAATCTCTAGCCCACCCCCAACCCGGCAATTCCCTCCTTGGTCTCTCCCAATGTTTGGTGCTGCAGACACGATTCAGCAAATAATCTGGGCTGATTAAATTCATCTGCATTGAACTATCATTAGAAGCTCATAGAAAAAAATAAATAAAATTTGAAAATTGGGGGCTGGAGCAATAGCACAGCGGGTAGGGCGTTTGCCTTGCAAGCAGCCAACCCATGTTCAATTCCCAGCATCCCATATGGTCCCCTGAGCATCGCCAGGGGTAATTTCTGAGCACAGAGCCAGGAGGAACCTCTGTGCATTGCCGGGTGTGACCCAAATAGCAAAATAAATAAATAAGAAGCTCATAGACTGGGGGGCTGGGGCCATGTCCCTCTACCAGTGACCCACAGTTTTGGCCAAAGGGTAAATGTGTTTGGAGGCTGGAGGAATAGCACAGCGGGCAGGGCGTTTGCCTTGCACAAGGCCAACCTGGGTTCGATTCCCAGCATCCCATATGGCCCACTGAGCACTGCCCTGAGCACTGCCAGGGATAATTCCTGAGTGCAGAGCCAGGAGTAAATCCCTGTGCATTGCCGGGTGTGACCCCCCCCCAAAAAAACAAAGGGTAGATGTGTTGGGCCTCTTGTCTGGGTCACAACTAAGCAGCCCTGGGTGACCCGTGAGCCAATGAGTTTGTTATAAAACTTTATTGGAGGGCTGGAGCGATAGAACAGCGGGTAGGTAGTTTGCACGTGGCCTTACACGTGGCCAACCCGGGTTCAGTTCCCAGGATCCTATATGGTCCCCTGAGCACTGCCAGGAGTAATTCCTGAGTGCAGAGCCAGGAGTAGCCCCTGTGCAACAACGCTGGGTGTGACCCAAAAAAGCAAAAAATAAAACTTTAATTTTTAGCGTCCAGTGAAGAGTTAGGAGCTGGTGGTGCTCTGCCAGCCCTTGCTCTGCACCCTGTTCTGTCTGCCTGACCCACACCTGCTTGCGGAGGGGTGCAGGGGGTGGAGGGGCCACTCACTGCAGCACACAGTCGGGGATCTGCACGTGCTCCATGGGGATCAGCCGCTCCAGGTCCTCCAGGCTGTGCACGTACTGGATCTTGTTGATGAACTTGACGCTGGCAAGAAGAGCAGACTGGCCTGACCCCCCGCCCCCAAGGCCCCTCACCTCACTCCCCCTCAGTTGTTTTCATCAGGGGTACTGCCTGATTCCATGAAAATGCACGATCACTCCACATTCTTTTTTTTTTTTTTTTTTAGTTTTTGGGTCACACCCAGCAATGCTCAGGGGTCACTCCTGGCTCTGTGCCCAGGCATCACTCCTGGTGGATGGGAGGACCCTATGGCATGCCGGGGATTGAACCCAGGTCGGCTGGGCAGAAGGTAAACACCCTCCCCACTGTTCTATGGCTCCAGTCCTCACTCCACATTCTTTGGGGATGAACATTGAGTCTGCCCCCACCCAGAGCCTGGCTGTTTGGTCTCATCAAGGGTCTTTAAAACCAGACATGGGGTTCTGGAGACATAGCAAAGCAGGGAGGGTGCTTGCCTTGCCCTGGGCGAAGCCAGGTTCAAGCCCCGGCATCACATAGGATTCTCCAAAACTCACCGAGAATGACCCCTGAGCACAGAGCCAGGAGGAAACCCTGAGCAGCAGCATCAGGTGTGATCCCAAACCGAAATACTAAATAACAAAAAAAGGGGGGGTGGGACTAGAGCGATAGTACAGCGGGTAGGGCGTTTGCCTTGCACTTGGTCAACCCGGGTTCAATTCCCAGCATCCCATATGGTCCCCTGAGCACCGCCAGGAGTAATTCCTGAGTGCAGAGCCAGGAGTAACCCCTGTGCCAAGTGTGACCCAAAATACAAACAAACAAACAAAAACTAAGTAAATAAAAAAATAAAACCAGGGGCTGGAGCAATAGTACAGCAGATAGGGCACTTGCTTTGCATGCGGCTGACCCGGGTTCGACCCAGGCCTCTCCCTTAGGGTTCCCTGAGCACAGCTAGGGTGGTAGCCCAAATGCAAAACAAATCCATTTTTTTTCTTTTTGGGTCACACTCACCGATGCACAGGGGTTACTCCTGGCTCTGCACTCAGGAATTACCCCTGGCGGTGCTCAGGGGACCCTATGGGATGCTGGGAATCGAACCCGGGTCGGCCGCGTGCAAGGCAAACGCCCTACCCACTTTGCTATCGCTCCAGCCCCACAAATCAAAATTTTAGCACTGTTCTCTAGCACTGTTCTCCTGCTGTTCATCAATTTGCGCGAGTGGGCAACAGTAACGTCTCCGTTGTGAGACTTATTATCAAAATTTTAAATTTTGGAGCCAGAGTGATAGGACAGCAGTTACAGCATTTGCCGTGCAATGCGGCTGAGCAATGAGGCTGATCCGGGTTCGGTCTCTGGCACCCCACATGGCCCCAGAGCCCAGGCGGAAGTGATGTCTGATACCGGTGTGATGGGGTTGTGATCTGAGGTCGGGTAAACCATACACATGGAATTTGATCATGGCTGATTGTAAAGTTTATGCGCTATGAATAACTTTGTAAATTACAGTGCCTCAAGAAAAAAATATTAAAGGGGATGGAGAGATAGCAAAGAGACAGCGGGTAGGACGCTTGCCTTACATGCAATTCCCAGCAACCCAGATGGTCCCCTGAGCACCGCCAGGAGTAACTCCTGAGTGCAGAGCCAGGCGTAACCCCTGTGCATCGCCAGGTGTGACCCAAAATGCAAAAAATATATATTAAAAAAACAAAATTTTAATTTTAAAAAGGTACCAGGACTGGTACCTGGCGTGTTAGTCTCTTAGTATTTTTTTTCCCACAAATGAGTGCAGTCATTTTATGTTTCTTCTTCTCCTTCTGACTTATTTCACTTAGCATGACACTCTCCATTTCCATCTATTTATAGACAAATTTCATGATTCCATTTTTTTTCTAACAGCTACATAATATTCAATTGTGTAGGCATAGCAAAGTTTCTTTAGCCAGTTGTCTGTTCTTGGGCACTGAGACTGTTTCCAGATTCTGACTATTGTGAACAGTACTTTAATGAACATACAAGTGCAGACGTCATTTCTGCTGTGTATTTTTGCTGCCCGGGGTATATTCCCAGAAATGGTATTGCTAGGTCATATGGAAGAGGCCGGCAAGCTACCGAGAGTATCTCGCCTGCGCGGCAAAGCCTGGGCAAGCTCCCCGTGAAGTATTCAATATGCCAAACACAGTAACAACAAGTCTCAAAATGGAGATGTTACTGGGCCCGCTCGAGCAAATCAATGAACAGCGGGAGGACAGGGACAGGGACAGTGACCAGGACCCCCGAGTAACACCAAGGTGTCCCAGGAATCCTGGACAAGGCAAGTCCCAGGGAACCGAATCCTCAGGTGTGATGGGGTTGTGATGGGGTTAACTTCTTCTTCCTGTAGAATCACCAGCCCAGCCGAGAGCCCCGAGAGCCCCGAGCACTGCCTGGGAGCCCCACACAGAAGAACACGGCAGGGTCCCCCCCCAGCACCTGCCTGGGTGCAGCGTCACCTGCTCACCTGATGAAGGGCCTCGACACGGCCAGTACAGTGCGAATGAACCAGGACGGGTGCACGATGATCAGGGACTTGAGGTTTTTCCGCAACCTGCGAGGGAGCAGAGACGGGGAGCGGGGTTTGGGGGGCGGGACGGTGTGGACAAATCCAGACACCCGTCCCACGCTGCCACGGGCCCCACGGAGGGCAGAGGGAGGCGAGAACCACCGCAGAGGGAGCAAAGCAGAGTGACAGGTGTGTGGATGCCCGGAGCCAATGTCGGTGGTCACAGGACCAGAGACACGAGCCAGATACGGGGACCCCTCCCATAAATCTAGGGAAGTTGCTGCAGAGAGTTGGGGACATTTGGGTGAACGTTGGGGAAAGGGTGTCTCCTGGCAGAGAAGGTCCTGGAGACAGGGAGGGGCAGGACCACGGTGATGATGGAGTAGTTTATGTGACACACATTTGGGCGGTTTTTTGTGGGTTTATTTTGGGGGGGATGGGGGCGTTGGTCCACACCTGGTGATGCTCAGGGGTTACTGAGTACTGAGTGTCTGAGGTTGAAACCCGGGTCAGCTGGGTGAAAGGCAAGTGTCAGGGCTGGAGCAATAGCACAGCAGGTAAGGCGTTAGCATTGCACACGGCTGACCCGGGTTCGATTCCCAGCATCCCATATGGTCCCCCGAGCACCGCCAGGAGTGATTCCTGAGTGCAAAGCCAGGAGTAACCTCTGAGCATTGTCAGGCGTGACCCAACACACACACACACACACACACACACACACACACACAAAAGGCAAGCACCGTCCCGGCTGGACTATCACTTATCACTCGGGCCCATATGTGAAACACATTTTGCCAATTTGGTTACATGGTGGGGGGCGGGGGGTATGTGTTTGTGTGGGTGGGTGCATGTGTGTAGGATAGCACTGGTTTGGTTCGTCCTTTCTCCTCTGCCTGCCATAAGGAGCTTAGGTTTGCTGAGTAACACCCATCACAGTGCTCACTAAGCACTCCCATTTCCTCGGTATTCATCTTTAACTTCTCCTTTGTGCTCTGCTTCCCCGATCTGTTTATCACTCAATTCCCCTAACCAGTACCTGTGACTCATAAAGTCAAATTCTTCAGAGATCTCTGGATTTGTATTTGTAAGTGGAACATTGCTCTTCTCCTTCCCTTCGGTCTTTCGCATAGTTCACTTCAGAGCAGTGTCCTTTTTGTACAGACTCAGGAAGACAGTTAATGCTAAGCTTTTGTAACTTGGGAGTTCACTAACTCCAAATAATATTTACTCCTGGGCATCCTGGGCTTATTTACTTGACTTAAGCCTCAGTTGCCCTTAGTTCCTAGCACCCCAAAGGCAGGGTCCTAACGAAGGGACTGGATGGACACAGGGAAAACCATAAGCTACCCTGGACAAACCGTCATGACCCAAAGAGAAGTGACTGGACAAGAACCCTGCTGGGGTCAGGAAGGACTAATCTGGCCTGAGGACTGCAGTCTGGGATCTAGAGCGAGATGTCCCAGGAGAGCCACCATTTAAACTTAATATATCTCTTACTGTGTCCATACAAAATGACTAGAAAGAGTATTAAAAGTAAATCTAAGAGGCTGAAGCAATAGCATAGCAGGTAGGGTGTTTGCCTTGCAAGCAGCCAACCCAGGCTTCGAATTCCAGCAACCCATATGGTCCCCTGAGCACTGCCAGCAGTTAATTCCTGAGTGCAGATCCAGGAGGAACCCCTGAGCATCGCCGTGTGAGACCCAAAAGGCAAAAAAAAGTAAATCTAAGATGATTGTTTATGGACAGAGGAAAGGAGAAGTGGGGCTGGAGTGACAGCACAGTGGGTAGGGCATTTGCTTTGCCAACCCAGGTTCGATTCCCAGCATCCCATAGTACTGAGCAGCATCCCATAGTACCAAGCATACCGAGCACCGCCAGGAATAATTCCTGAGTGCATGAGCCAGGAGTAACCCCTGTGCATCACCGAGTGTAAAACCAAAAGGCAAAAAAAAGAAAGGAGAAGTATGTCCTTAGATGGAAGCAGGAAAAGACTAGATTGGAATAAATGGCAACTGATCACCAATCAGCCTGGCCCCGTTTTCTCCTCCTTCCATCCACTGGCCATCTGGGGTGGGAAGGCAGGCGAGAGAGCACCGCGTCGCCTTACAAGCGGCCAACATGGCCAACCCGAGTTCGATTCCTCCGCCCCTCTCGGAGAGCCCGGCAAGCTACCAAGAGTATTCGATATGCCAAACACAGTAACAACAAAGTCTCCAATGGAGATGTTACTGGGCCCGCTCGAGCAAATCGACAATCAACGGGAGAGCCTTTACCTTTACCTTTACACATCTGTGTGTGTGTGACATAACTGGGAGCCCCAGGGTCTCACGTGCACACACGTGCGCACATGTGCGCCTACACTCAGATGCACATGTGCACACACAGATGCACACAGATGTACACACATGCACACGTATATGCAGATGTGCACACACATGCACACACAATGCAGACAAATACAGATGTACACATGCTTGCACACGTATACGCAGATGTGCATGCACACACGTACACACACAATGCACACAGATGCATATATGCAGACATGCACGTACACGAATAGGCATATGTGCACCCACACACGCACACACTGCAGACACATACACAGATGCACACAGATGTACACATGCACGCACATGTATACACAAGTATGCACTCATGCACACGTATGTGCAAATGTGCACGCACATGAGTACACATGCACACACAATGCAGGCACACGTACACACGCACACAGGAGCAGGCGTTCCTTCTGCTGGGGTCCACAGCTGAGCCAGCCTGCAGTGTTTCTCTCCTGCTGTTTCTAGGATGAGCCAGAGTCATTTGGGGACATGCTGTAGGGGTCGTTTGGGGGACAGGCCACCTGCTCCCCTGGTAGTAGGGCCTGGGTCTGACCTGGGCTCTATCCCCTTTGGGACTCTAAGAACCTGGGGACCCCCAGGGGTCATCATAAGTCCTCGGATGGAAGCAGGGCCGCCTCTGGACACATGGACACAGGATGCTCACTGGGCCCCCCACACACACCTGTCCCAGGGAGACTCTAAGGGGGTGCAAGACCAGATCCCCTGGGATACTCTGAAGGGCTGAGCACTGAGCCTGACCCCAATAATTCATGACAGAACTCCCTCGGTGTAATGTGACCACCACAGGGGTCCCCAGTCCCCTTCTCCCCCACCGTCTCCTGAAGGGGCTGCTTATAAAGAAGAAATTCCCTCCCTCCTTCTCTCCCTCTCCCTCCTGCTCTCTCTCACACACGATCATACTATCACACACTTATTCTAACACAGACACAACTTCTCTCACACGATCACTGTAGGGTAACAATTGATTTGTCCTTTCTCCCTTGCCACAAGGAGCTTAGGTTTATCGGGTTACACCTATCACAGTGCTCCCAAGTCACTCCCATTCCTTTGTTTATCTGTAACCACTTCTCTATGCTCTCTTCCCCAACCAGTTAATCAGTTTTTCCCCCTAATCAGAATCTGTTAATTTGTAAGATCAGATCCTTCTAGGACACTGAACTTGTAAGTCAATAAATATTACCTTTCTCCTCTCCTTATGTCCTATGAATAGTTTACTTTAAAGCAATGTCCTTTTTTTGTATAGATACAGAAAGACACTTTGTAATTTAGGATTTAAGGTAAAGGTAAAGGCCCTCCCGTTGATCCTCAATTTGCTCGAGCGGGCCCAGTAACGTCTCCATTGGAGACTTTGTTGTTACTGTGTTTGGCATATCAAATACTCTCGGTAGCTTGCCGGGCTCTCCGAGAGGGGCGGAGGAATCGAACTCGGGTCGGCCATGTTGGCCACTTGTAAGGCGAACGCCCTACCGCTGTGCTATCGCTCCAGCCCAATTTAGGATTTAATTGGCTTCAAATATTATTCACTCCCGGGCATCTGCTTTCTCGACTTAAGCCTCAGTTGCCCTTAGTTCCTAGCACCCCAAAAGCAGGGTCCCAACGAGGGACTGAATGGACCCAGGGCAAACTGTGAGCTACCCTGGCATCAAAATGGGCCATGCCAAAACACCAAGATTCTTACCTATAAGTTAAGAGCTTGATCATGGACAAATGCTGTCATGATCCAAAAGTAATGACAAAACTAGGACCCTGCTAGGGATAGGAAAGATTATCTGGCCTGAGCACTGTAGTCTGAGATCTAGATGGCCCTAGGAGAGCAATTCTATAAGCTTAATGTATCTCTTACTGTGTTCATACAAAATGATTAATATTATGAATGCTTATGTTTGTTGGACAAGGAGAGGAGGAACACCCACGGGATTCCACTCTTGGGTGGGTTGTCTTGCTCAGAGTATCTGTCCTAGAAAAAGTATCCCCTGAGGCAAAGAACTTTACCCCTATTGATTGTGACCACACCTATGTGGAAGCCCCAACCCCTCATGCCTTGGAATTTAACTAGACTATAAGAGTGGGCTGGGGGATCAAGATCCAGAAGCCAGAGTCCAGAGGCAGAAGGTAAAAGGGGATCCAGACTCCAGAAGGAGGAGAAAGGGGATCTAGATCCAGATTCCAGAGCCAGGAGGAGGATGAAGGGGGATCGAGAAGGAGAATGAAGTAGCACAGGGGAGGAAGAGGCAGGAGGAGAGTCAGAGGAGAATGGAGATGGGAATGGAATAAACTACAACTGACACCAACTAGCCTGACCCTCATTTCCTTCCTTCGCCTGCCCATCGCCTTCGACCTCCCCGGGGTGGGGGAAGTGGCCGAGACTACCGAACGCAGGCAGCGGGACCGATAGACCGCTGCTGTCTTTTTGTGTTTACACAGATCACACATACATTCTCAGACCCATTCAAACCCATACACACAGTGTGTGGACAGGCACACGCACACGCGCGCGCACACACACACACACACAGTGTGGGCACCAAGTGCCCACTCACCGCCTGTCAATCATCTGGTAGCACTTCTTGAGCCAGCCAATGCCCGGCATCTTCCGCCGTGGGGTGGCGCCATTCAGGTACACAATCATGTAGTCCTCGGCGACCAGGAGCTCCAGGCTGCTGATGACGTACCTGGGCAGGGTAGAACAGGACGGGGCGGAGATGCCGTGAGGGGAACTGTGCCAAACACACACGTTCAGGTGCTATGGGCGGGTAGATGCCCCAGGTGTGCAGGTGGGTGCCCAGGTGATTCAGGTGCCGGACCCATGCCCAGATGTGCCGGGGTGCTGGTGCCCAGGTGTATCAGGAAGGTGCCCAGGTGAGCTGCAGCACTGAGTGTGAGCATCTCAGCCAGGAGTACCCAGAGGTCATGCTTTCCAGAAACCCTGTAGGCACGCATGAGAACATAGTGGGCACGTCTGGAGCGCACAATGAGCAAGTGTGTGACATACCGTTAGCATATGTGGTGCACACTGCCATCACGTGCAGGGAGAAAAGGGAGAGGGGGAGGAGGGGGAGAGAAGGGGAGGAGGAAGAGGAAGAGGAGGAAGGGGAGGAGGAGGAGAGGCAGAAGAAGAAAAGGAGGAGGAGGGGGAGAAGAAGGAGAGGAGGAAGAGGAGAGGAAGGGGAGGAGAGAAAGGGGAAGGAGTGGAGGAAGGTAGAAAGAATGGGATGAGGAAGAGAAGAGGAGGGGAGGGGGAGAAGGAAGGGAAGAGGGGGAGAAGCAGGATGAGGGGAGGGGTGCAGGGGCCGCAACTCACAGGAAGAGGTTCTCCATGATGTAGTGGTAGTCGGGGGAGCTGCTGTCAGGGAGGAAGCAGGCGGCGAAGACGATGATGGCGTTCAGGCCTTCGCCATAGTAGCCTGGGAGAGCAGACGGGCAGGCAGGAGTGGCCGCAGCACCTGGAACAAGCCCTCCCTCCCCGAGCCCCCCGCATGCTGAGCCCCGCCTCAGCCCCTGCTCTGCTGGGGAGTCACACCCGGCGGTGTCAGGGCTGCCTCCTGGCTGATGCACTCAGGAATCACTCCTAGCAGTGCTCGAGGGACCGGAGGGGGTGCCAGGGTTCGAACTAGGGTCGGTCACGTGCAAACGCCCTACCCAGGGGACTATCGCTCAGGGCCCAGGGCCTGGTGCTAGCCAGCCCTTCTCTGCCTGGATCTGACTAGGAGCAGATCTGGGGGTGTTGAGGGGGGCCTCAGCATCGCCCCCGTCACACATCTGCCTTGGGGGCGAGCACCGGCCCCCTCCGAGGCACAGCTGGGCATCCTCAGACGCCCGTCACACACCCCCACGCACACACCCCCGCGCCTGCCTGGACACGAGGGGCATCCCCTGCGCAAGCCCCCCCATGATGAGCCTGTAGGCAGAGCGGCAGTGGGGGGCGGTGGGGGGGCTCACCTCCGTGCGTCACCACCCGCATGTAGGGGCGGATCATATGCAGGTCAATGCGGTGCTCCTGCTCGCCGATGATCACCGTGCGCCAGAGCCGCCCGTTGGCCGCGCCCCCGTCCTCGGCCGCGCCGTCCCCGAACAGGTCCGCGCTGTCCCCGGGCATGTTCTTGGCGGCGGCCACGGGGGTGTCATCTGAGGGGGCAGAGCGAGGGGTCTGAGTTGGTGCGCCTGGGGTGGCCCCCAGCATCGGCCTGCCAGGCCCCCATGGACGCGTCCCCACCAATGGATGGCACCCAACTGGGCAGTGGAGACCCTCAGGTCGGGCGCGGGCCCCAGGGACCCGTCGGGGTGCAGGTCGGGGGACCAGGGTGAGCCCATTTCTGGGAGACATCTGCCCAAGGCTGTGGACGTGCTCAGTCTTCTGGGGGCTTCTCAGGGCTCTGTGGGGGCTCCCAAATAACAGTTAAGCCTCCGATCTGGCCGGTCAACAGTGCTGGGCACTGGCGGGCACATCCAGTCCCCTCCTCCGATTCCCAACAACACCACATGGACCCCATGCGCGAAGCCAGGAGGAGCCCCCAGCACCAGCAGAGGTGACCCCCAAAACTAACTCCCACCTCCCAAAAAGAAAAATAATCAGATGCCAGAACCAGAACCAGAGGACAGTGGGGACAGGACTGACCTTGCACACGGCCTGGGTTTGATTCCCCAGCATCCATAAGAGGGACTCCTGAGCACAGCGCCAGGAGTCAGCCCAGAGCACTGCTGTGTGTGGCCCCCAAACAAACAAAAACTCAGATCTGGGGGAGAGATGCTGGCAGCTGAGTCATCCCAGGCCAAGGTCTCTGGACCCCCGATGGAGTGGGGGCAGACTGGGTCCCCTGCTCTGCCAAAGGGCCACACTGCACCCACCCACACCCGGTAACTGCCAGAGAAACGACCCAAAGTCAGGGCTGATCTCAGAGAGGCCCGAGAGACGCCTGCAGCTGACCATCCCGGCTCCAAATCCCTGAAGCCAACAGACACGTGAGCAGTCACGCAGCAGCTCCGAAGCTCCCAGACCTGCCAGCCGGGGAAAGGGGAGAATGAGCCGGGAACACTGAGTGCAGGCCCGCTGAGCTCAGTGAGCGGAAACACCAACACAGGAGGCCCCGCTCACAGCGATCCGCTCAGGAAGTCCGTAGGCCAGCAACAGTCTCAGGAGAGGCATGTGGGGGTAAGCAAATAAAGTGAATCCGGGGCTGGAGCGACAGCACAGCGGGGAGGGTGTTTGCCTTGCAAGCGGCCGATCGGGCTTCGATCTCTGGCATTCCATATGGTCCCCTGAGCACCGCTAGGAGTGATTCCTGAGTGCAGAGCCAGGAGTAACCCCTGAACATCACCGGGTGTGACCCAGAATAAATAAATGGATTAGTGCCTGATAAGGGGGGAGAGCAGGGGGGGAAAGGGGAGGAGAGGGGAACTGGCCGAGGGAAGGGCACTTTGGTGCCAGGGCAGATGTTAGGAGACTCAAAACCTGAAACAACTGTACCGTGAACAACTTAGTAAATTACAGTGTTTAAATAAAGTTTACAAAAAAAATTTAAACAGTCAGATGTGGGGCTGAAGAGATGGTTCAGCAGGCAGGGCGTTTGCCTGGCATGTGACAGACCCGGGTTCGATCCCCGGCATCACATAGGGTCCCCTGAGCACCGCTAGGAGTGACTGCTGAGTGCAGAGCCAGGAGGAACCCCTGAGCATTGCCAGATGTGATGCAAAAAGCAAAGAGAGAGAGAGAGAGAGAGAGAGAGAGAGAGACATAGAACCCTAGGGCCCGAACGATAGTACAACGGGTAGGGTATTTGCCTTGCACGCAGCTGACCCAGGTTCGATTCCCAGCATCCCATAGGGTCCCCCACGAGTAATTCCTGAGTGCAGAGCCAGAGTAAGCCCTGAGCATCGCAGGGTGTGACCCAAAAAGCAAAAAAAGAAAAAAAAAAGAAGCAGCAGCCAAACGGAGCCTGGAAGCCCCCCCAGGTCCATGCACCAGCCCCGCGGCCCCCCAGCCCCCCACCACCACCCCAGTCACCTTCCCACTCCAGGTCATTCCCGTTGCCCAGGAACTCCAGCGAGTCCGTCTCATCCGGGGTCTCGATGTCGTCCACGTTGATGTCAAGGTCGTCCGGGGTGTCCAGGAAGTCGTCGGACAGCAGGGACCCCTCGCTCTGGTCCAGGGAGAGGTTGATATCCGGGGCCACCAGCGTCTTGCGCTTGCGGTGAGCCCCGCCGAAGTTCAGGGTGCTGGGAGGGGCTGCAGGGGACAGAGAGCAGCAGAGCCCGGGAGCCGGTCACCCCAACACCCTCTCTCACCGCTGGACCTCCCCCGACTGTGCCCGGCCCCCCAGGACCCCCCCACTTGGAGCGCCAGGTGGCTCCAGGGGCGCAGGGTGGGGGGTCAGGTGGAGGTCTCAGAGTCGTGACACCCCCAGGACCAGAGAGAATGCCCTCCAGATGCCAGGGGTCCCCCCGCCGAGCATCGCACGGTCCCCCAACACTGCCGGGAGTGACTCCCCAAGATCTGAGCCACAGGCCCTGAGAATCGTCAAGTAGAACATGGAAACCCCCCAAATGCCAAAATGTTGGTTCATCTGTAATTAATTAAATGAGTCAATCTCCTACTTTTGCATCCCCGAGTTCCTCTGTCCTGGGGGGCTCTGGGCACACTGCCTGCCCCCCTCCCCAGGCTTACATGGTCCCTTCATGAGCCTCGTGCAGTTGGGGCGGCTACACTGAGCAACTGGAGCAACAGAGGCAGAGAGGTCAAGCAACTGACTCAAGGCCACACAGCAACAAGGCCACCCCGTCCCCTGCAGCCCCAGAACAGACGCCCCCCAGCCCACTTTCCCTGATGTCCCACCCCAAATCTCAGTCTTCCACCGCTCTGCAAGTCAGGGAACTTACAAGCTGCGTCTCCCCCGGGGCTGCCAAGCGAATCCATCCCCGTGTCTTCCGGGAGGGGTCTGGGGTCCAGCCAGGAGTAGACACGGGACACCCCCAATCCAGCCGGAAGCGGGCAGGAGTCACACAAAATGACAAAACCTCGTTAGTGCAGGGAGCTTTGGGACCACACGCAGTGCCAGAGACCAAACTAGTCGCAAGCACCTATAATTAATTTTTTGCTTTTGTATTTTGGGTCACACACTGACCCTGTGGTGTGAGGGGCGGGACCCCTGGCATCCAGAGCTGCCTGTGCTCACACTTTATTCCTGGCTCTATGCTCAGTGCTCAGGGCTTACTCCTGGCTCTGTGCTCAGGGCTGACTCCTGGCAGAGCACAGGGGGACCCTCTGGGGTGCTGGGGATAGAACCCGGGTTGGTTGCGTTTGAGGCAAGAGCTGTGCTATCTCTGTAGCCACTAAAGTATTTTAAATTCCCTCCCAGACTTCGCTCACTCAAACTGCCTGCCCCTCCTTCCCCGCTGTCACCCCAGCACTAGCAGGAACCCTCCCTGGACCCCAGACACCCAGACACGGCCCCCTCTGCTCCACATGTGTAACCCTATAAGGCAGGAGGATTGACGGGGCAAGGGAGTGGGGTGAGGGCATGTCCAGGGGCCCAGTTCACAGCAAAGAAAACTGAGGCTGGGCCAGGTAAGTCCCACACCACGTTTGGAAAAAGGGAAACGTTCTTCCATCCAAGTACTAACAGGCCCGGCCCTGCTTAGTTTCTGAGATCAGACGAGATCGGGCGCATTCGGGTGTGTGTGTGTGTGTGTGTGTGTGTGTGTGTGTGTAGCTTCCAAGATCAGACGAGATCAGACGCATTCAGGTGTGTGTGTGTGTGTTTGTGTGTGTGTGTGTGTGTGTAGCTTCTGAGATCAGACGAGATTGGACACATTCGGTGTGTGTGTGTGTAAGTGTAACTTCTGAGATCAGATGAGATCAGGCACATTCAGGGTGGGGTGTGTGTGTGTGTAGCTTACGAGATCAGATGAGATCGGGCGCATTCGGAGTGTGTGTGTGTGATTTTGTGTGTGTGTGTGTGTGTGTGTGTGTGTGTGTGTATGAGTGAGCCCGGCCCTGCTTAGCTTCCAAGATCAGACGAGATCCAGGCACATTCAGGGTGTTGTGTGTGTGTTTGTGTGTGTGTGTGTGTATAGAAAGCATACAAGTCTCAACCTTTAACAACATGTTAGTGATCTCTTATAGTAGGGCTTAATGGTCTCTGGGTGAAATACAGCAATTCCCACACTCTTTCCTCTAAGAAAACTCTTATAGCATTTTCAGCCATTTATTCATCCTTTATTCATCACGGTATCACGGTCACGGTCCTCCCATTATTCATCAATTTGCTCGAGCGGGCCCAGTAACGTCTCCATTTTGAGACTTGTTGTTACTGTGTTTGGCATATCGAATACGTCACGGGGAGCTTGCCAGGCTCTGCAGTGCAGGCGAGATACTCTCGGTAGCTTGCCGGGCTCTCCGAGAGGAGCGGAGGAATCGAACTCGGGTTCGGCCATATTGGCCGCTTGCAAGGCAAATGACTTACCCGCTGTGCTATCGCTCCAGCCCCATTTATTCATAACAATACAAAATATATTATTTCGGTTCTGCTTTGGGGCAGGGGTTGGGGTTTGGGATGGAAATATCCGAAATATGGTGGTGGGAAGGTGTAATGGTGGTGGGATTGGGGCTCGAATGTTATTTATAAAATTTTTAAAAATTAAAAATGAAGTTAAAAAGGGAAATTTATTTTCCCGTTATTCCAGGGGCTAAAGCCGAGTCCACTCGCTGTCCTCTGCTGCCCCCTAGTGTCCAGCTCGCACTGAGCACAGGCCCCAGGGGACAGAGGACGCATTGGCCCTGACCCCAGCTCCCTTACAGGCTTGGGGAGTCCCAGCACACGCAGGGGCCCCATTCAGACACCCACTCTCCCATGCTCTGTGATTTCCACTTCCCAGGGGCCTCTGACATCCGGGTTTGGCCCCGGTGGACCATGGGGAAATCAGAGGAAGGAGAGGGCCAGTGTTTGATCTGCAGAACTGTGAGCTCTTTCAGAGCACAGGATATGAACCAAAAAAAAATAATAAAATAAAATAAAACTAGAAAAGAGCAGACCAACTCATTTAATTTTTTATAGTTTTTTTTCACGGCTGAAGCGATAGCATAGTGGGTAGGGTGTTTGCCTTGCACACGGCCGACCCAGGTTCAGTTCCTAGCATCCATATGGTCCCCCAAGCACCGCCCAGGAGTAATTCCTGAATGCAGCGCCAGGAGTATCCTCTGAGCACCAGGAGCATCGCCAGGTGTGACCCAAAAAGAAAAAAAAAGAGAAGGAAATGATTATGGGGTGATGGAGGAGGAGGGGAGTATCCTGGAGGAGGTGACTTGACAGCAGGTGGCTGGCATCCCGGAGGACTTCCCAGAAAAAAAATATTAATTTTCTGCAGGCAGTTCAAGAAACGTACGTGATTGGTGCTTAGGACAAACAACTGGCAGGAAGGCTTTATTTAGAAGTTCTCAGGGCTGGAGCCACATAGCACAGCAGGTAGGGCGTTTGCCTTGCACGTGGCCGACCCGGGTTCGATTCCCAGCATCCCATATGGTCCCCTGAGCACCGCCAGGAGTAACTCCTGAGTGCAGAGGCAGGAGTAACCCCTGTACATCGCCAGGTGTAACTCAAAAAGAAAAAAAATGGAGATGCAGGGGGCGGAGAGATAGTATGGAGGGTAAGGCATCTGTCTGCCTCGTGCATGACAGACTTGGGTTCATCCCTGCATCCCAAAGGGTCCCTGAGCAATGTGTCAAGAGCGATTCCTGAGGCTGGAGCGATAATACAGCGGGTAGGGTGTTTGCCTTGCACGCGGCCACCCTGGTTCGATTCCCAGCATCCCATCTGGTCCCCTGAGCACCTCCAGGAGTAACTCCTGAGTGCAGAGCCAGGAGTCAGCCCTGTGCATCGCTGGGTGTTACCCAAAGGAAAGCAAAAAAAAAAAGTGATTCCTGAGTGCAAAGCCAGGAGTCAGCCCTGAGCACTGCTGAGTGGTAGCCAAATTAAAAATAGGAAAAAAAAAAAGAGAAAAATCTGGAGATGCAGTTTACATAAGCCTGGAAACTTAAGTCTTTTCCTGAGACTGTTAAAGCCTCATCAAGCCAGCAAAGGATACAAAGAGAATAAATAAGTGAAGCTTCTGCAGCCTGCACTGCAGTCAGCAAGAATCAAAGACGAACCCCACCTCCCCCAGCACCCACACGCACACCCTAGCCATCATGGGGGTTTCCTGAGCTTCTGAGCAGAACCCTGGAGTCCTGGGAACTCGTGAGGTCCAGGCGTCTGGGGACACACACACAAGCTTCCCACAGGCCTTCATGTCCGCTCTGCCCCTGTCCCCCCACCCCACCCCACCCTAGCCCTCACCCCTCCTCCTCCCCCTGCCCCGCCCAGCCCAGAGCGGGAAGCGTGGTCAGCACCGCGGACAGCAGCCTGAGCCCCTTAGAGGACCGGCCCTCCCCAGGCACTGGACTACGCATTCAGGCCCACTTAGGTGCGGTTCTGTCCAGTTCCCCGGATTCGGGAAGCATTCAGAATTCAGGGGTTTGGGAGGCAGGGCGGGGGAGGCTGATCCCATGGGGCTGGGACTTGTGAGCGGGGGCTGGAGAGGTCAGAGTTTTGCCTGCTGGAGTCCCCAGAATCCCCCTCAAGGGGGCCTGGGATGCACCCCAAGGCATGAAGCCAGAAACAACTTCCAGCACCACCAGTGTGACCCCAACACTGAAATGGTTATTAAGAAACTATAGGGGGAGAGGCAGCTTAAGGAAGCAGCCTAGGGATCAGGGTGCAGACCCCCGGCTCCTGTGTTGCAAGGGTTAAGACTCAGGGATGCTCCCTCCCCCCCGCACTTCAGGGTTTAATTAAGCCCACAAAGCCCCCCAGCACTGCAGCATTTAGATCCAAAGACCCTCCAACACTACCCATGGTGACCCCCAAGCACCAAACCAAGACCAGTTGTCGGAATCGCCAGGTGTGACTCAAAAACTCAGGAACTAATGAATACAATAAAAACGAGGGGCTGGAGCGACAGCACAGCAGGTAGGGCGTTTGCCTTGCACATGGCCGACCCGGGTTCGGTTCCCAGCATCCCATAGGGTCCCCTGAGCACTGCCAGAAGTAATTCCTGAGTGAAGACCAGGAGTAAACCCTGTGCATTGCCAGGTGTAACCCCAAAAGCAAAAAAAAGGGCGGGTGGTGGGAGGGATATTGGGATCATTGGTGGTGGAGAATGGGCACTGGTGGAGGGATGGGTACTCGATCATTGTAGAACTAAAACCCAAGCACAAAAATGTGTAAGTCTACAACTGTACCTCATGATGTTTCACTAGTAAAAAATTTTAAAACTTCAAGAAAAAAGAAAATGAAAAGAGGGGGAGTCCCACCTGGACAGAAGCTCCAGGAGGGGCGGGGTCACTGGCTTGGCCCAGGTCTGCTTGGGGGGGGGACCCTGTTGAATCCCTGGGGGGCCGTGGGGGACAGGCCAGGCGGCAGAGGGGGGGTGGGCCGGGCTGTGGGACAGAGATCAAACTGTAGGGCTGGTGGGGGGCCACAGGGGGAGGCCAGAGCTGGGTCTGGCAAGAGGGGTCTCATAGGGCTGAGCACCAGGGCAGGGGCACTAGGTCAGCAGGGAGGGCACTGGCCTTGCCCGCAACCACTGGACCAGGGTTCAATCCTGGACATCCCATAGGGTCACCCTGAGCGCTCCAGGAGTGACTCCTAAGCATGGCAGGTGTCGCCCCTCCCCCCAAAAATGACTGAGCATCAGGGACAGCCCCAAGGCCTCCGAAAACCTGCAAACCCAACAAGTCCTAAAAGTCACTGTTATTCGTCGATTGCCTCGAGCAGGCCCCAGTAACGTCTCTTTCATCCTAACCCTGAGATTATATTCAAGGCTCTTTAGGAGAATGAGACCCATCATTGTTACTGGTATTTGGCATATTTGGTACGCCACGGGGAGTTTGCCAGACTCTGCCCTGTAAAAAGTCACTAAAAAAAAAAAATACAAGCTCAGGGCCTGGAGCAGGTAGCACAGCGGGTAGGGCATTTGCCTTGCATGCGGCAGACCCAGGTTCGATTCCCAGCATCCCATAGGGTCCCCCAAGCACCGCCAGAAGTGATTCCTGAGTGCAGAGCCAGGAGTAACCTCTATGCATCACCGGGTGTGACACCCCCAAAAAAAAACTATATATATATATATACACACACACACACACACAAGTTCAAAAGGCAAATGGGGATGGAGCTCATATATACAGGGTGAGAGATGGAGGGAAATGGAAAGAGAGATGCGGAATGGGGGTGGGGGGAGAAGAATTAAATGATAAAGCTGAGAGAGAAATGTTAACAGTTGTCAGGAGACTACAGCAGGGAGGGCACCTGCCTTGCATGGCCAACCGGGGTTCGAGGGGTGACCATCCCCTATAGATCCTGGAGCAGGGAGCCAGGAGCCAGCCCTGAGCATTGCCGGGTGTCGCCCACGTTGGGGGAAGGGGGTGGAGAAGCAAAACAAAACAAAGCTTCCAGCTCACCACCCCGTGGGCCGGGAGATAATCCAGGGGCTGAAGCCCAGGACAGGCCTGTGGAGAAGGGGTTGGGGGTGGGGGGCCGCCACCAGACATGAGACCCCTCCCCCATCGCAGAATGAATGGAGAAAAGGTGGCAGCGAGCCAGGGAGTACCAGGACGCCCGGTCGCTCCATCAGGCGGGCAGGAAGCAAAGAAAAGATACCGGAATTGGCGGCCGCGGGCTGCGGGGGGACGAGGGGGGGGGCACCCTGGCAGCGACCCCTCCCCCAGAGACGTGGGCATGAAGCAGAGCCCCCGGGAAGAGGACAGAGAACAGTGTTAGGAGACAGAGCCGGGTCTGCCACCCAAGCAACAAGGCGCTCCGTTTCTAGGGGCAGAAAAGAATTGACGCCTCAAGCTCGGCAGACCTCCCCTCCTTCCCGGCCCCCCCCAGAAGGATACACAGGGGGAAGCTTGTCCTGCAGGAGGAGGGAGGGGGCTGCACGACCCCCCAGCTCCCCGCCTCCGCAGCTGGGGGAAAACTGACTTGCAATTCACAAGCGCAGCTGGGAGAAGCGGACTTGAAATTTACATGCGCAGCTGCTTCCCGGATGCCACCTTTGTCTCAGCCAAGCGACTGGGAGGGTTTGCAAGGAGGAGGGCGAGGGGCACGGACAAAGCCCACCCCAGCGCCAAGCTAAGCGATTGTGGGGGGCGGGCGGGGGAATGAAAGTCCTCCTCCTAGGACCTCCGATCTTGGCCACGGGGAAGAAACACACACACGTCCTCCTAGGACCTCCGATCTTGGCCACGGGGAGGAACACACGCACGCACACACACATACTGAATTCCTGAGCAGGGCGTGCATGGGGGTCAGGAGACACAGCTCAGAGGGGAGGGTTTGTGCCTTGCACACAGCTGATCCGGGTTCCGTCCGCAGCACCCCTGTATGGCCCCATCAGGAGTGATTCCAGGGTGCAGAGTCAGGAATAAGCCCTAAGCACCTCTGTGGGGGGGGGGGGGGGGGGAGTGGGGCTGGACCAATAGCACAGCGGGTAGGGCGTTTGCCTTGCACGCGGCAGACCCCCGTTAGATTCCCAGCATCTCATAGGGTTCCCCAAGCACCGCCAGGAGTGATTCTTGAGTGCGAAGCCAGGAGTAACCCCTGAGCATCACAGGGTGTGACCCAAAAAGCAAAAAAACAAACAAACAAAAAGAGGGGGGAGAGAGCGAGGAGGGGGGAGGAGAGAGAAAGAAGACAGAGCCCACGCCCTGCGCTGCAGCCTGCAGCTTAGAACCAGTGCAGAGGGCTAGAGCAAGGGACAAGGGCCCAGCCAAGTTCTGCTCGCAGTATTCTGAAGTCCGGATGGAGGACCCTCCCAGCACCGTGGCGGGAGGACGCACCCGGCCCGGAGTGATCCCCGAGGACAGCACCAGAGTCAGCCCTAAGCCCCGCAGGATGTGGCTCCAACACAAAACGCACCAACAGTTCCCAGTCTGCGGGAGAGGAGCCCTGGGCTAGACACACAAGTTTGTTTTTCGTCCAACAAACGCGTCTGGGCTTGTTCTGGAAACGTGGGACTAACCCTTAAATTTCCCGGTTCCCTCCACCCCCGCAGGCGCTGGACCGGAAGTGCTAGATGGGGGTGGCCAGACGGTGGACACTGGGGAGGGCACTTAACCTTATAAGCCACATCTGATCACCAGCACCGCCCCCCCCAGAGTCCCCTGAACCCCGCGCGGAGTGAGCACTGAGCCAGGAGTAAATCCTGTGCACCGCCAGGTATAGCCAAAAAGCAACCAGCCATGCAGGGAGCACGGTTCAAAGACCTAGACTTTGCCCGGATCCCCCCCTCTTCCCCCAAGCACCGCCAGGAGTGAGGAGCTCAACCCCACCCCACTTCCGGTGTGGTCTGAGCCTGGTCCCCAGCACAGAGCCCAGAGATGGCCCCAAGCCCCACACCAGACCACCCACTCGCTGCTCTTGGAGCCTACAGAGGCGCTCAGGGTTCCTGCGGGAGCTTGGGGGATTTGGGGGGGCCGGGAGCATGTGGGGCGGAGGGCGCTGGGGTTGTCAGGGCCATCCTGGCTGTGCCTTGCCCCCCCCCCCACGCACACACACCCGGTACCTGGGAAGACCTTCATCCTGCCACTCATCTTTCACATCCACGTTCTCCATGCGGAGCGTTGCCTCAGTGGTCCCCATGAGAGCTGGGAGGCGCCGCGGTGACACAGGGCGGGACCTAGGGGAGGGTCACCACACAAACCTGTTGGGTCATCCAAGGCCAGTGTCCTCTGGGAGCCCCCCGCCCCTCATCACCTGTCCTGGGGGACCCCTTTTAGAGAGGAGGAAGCAGGTGGACGCCAGGTGCAGAGAGACGCCAACTCCACCTCCCACGCCCCCCTCTGGAAGTCATTAGGAATCAATGTCTCACATGGGCCACTTATGCTCAACTGTGAATGACTGATGGGCTTCAATTTTCATGCTGACCAAGATTTAATGCCCGCCACCGCCTAGGATCCCCAAGCACTTCCGGGAGTGATGCCTGAGCACTGAACCAGGAGTCATCCCTGTGCACCGCAAGGTGTCCCAAAACACAACTGAAAATATTTTTTACGTTTCCATGGTTTACTAAGTTTCCATGTTTTTTTTAAGCTTCCCTGGTTTCCATGGCCTGTCAGGCAAGCGCCCTCCCCGCTGCACAAACAGGAAACAAGTTAAAAATCGCAGCCCCTGGTCCCCGAGCACTGAGTCGGGAGTGACGCCTTAGCGCCACCAGATGTGGCCTCCCAAAGCCCAAGATTGAAAAATTGCTTGTAAAGACTCAGAGCTGGGGCTGTCAGCTATGCATGGGGGAGGGTGGGTGGGGCACCAGGTCAGGGGTCTGGCAGCCTGAGTGGGGGTGGGTACCCCCCAGTCCCTGACACCAGGTAGGTTTAGTGGCCCTAAACTACACCCAGTCGAGATAAACTCAGACTTCTATGCACAGGTTTGTCCCAGCATCTCAAGGCCTGGGGTCCCGTGACAACCCCAGGCCACACACCCCTGGGACGCCCCCACCCCGTAGCTGAGCCCCCCACAACCCCCATGACACAAAGGCCCCTAGAGAGGGGTCCACCTTTGTCCCCTGCAGGGGTGGAGGCGCAGATCTAACTTTGTCCCCCCCTGCAGGGCTGGGGGGGAACGGGTCTACCTGTTCCCTGCAGGGCTGGAGGGAAGGAGGGCAGCTTCAGTCTGCACTGTGACCAGCAGCCAAAACAGGATGGAGGGCTCTAGCGGGTACTGAGCACCCGGACGCATGGGTAAAGGGTCGCTTGCCAACTTAACTGCAGGCTGTCCGCCCCACCCCCAGGACTTTCCCCTTGACACCATCCTGACGTCACCACTTCCCGTCCTGACGTCATCACTGTGCCCTGACGCCATCATTCACTCCCGGGGCGCAGTGGGGGTGGGGCGGGGGTGCGGCTGGGGGAGGGCCAGCACCGTCCACCCTTCTCCTCGGGGCTCGGGAAATTCGTTTTCCTGGGCAGAAGCAGGGCACAGGCTCTCCCTATCCCGAACTGGGGTGCCCTGGGACACCCCCACCCAGCAACCCAGAGCGATCCCTGCGGGCCTCACTGCGGGGGTCCTGGGCTCGCGTCCCCCCCTCCCCGGGGACAGACACCGGAGCCGCGTCCATCCCCCGATCCCCACTCCCCGCCCCGGGTTATAAATAGGCGCGGGCACGCAGAGGCGGGGCGTGTCCCCCGGTCTCCCGGGAAGCGCCCGCACGCGGGCGGCGAGCAGGAGCGAGGGCCGGCTGGAGGGGGGCCCGGGAGGAGGCCCGGTGAAGGGTGGGGGGCTGCTATCGGGCCCCGATCGCTGCGGGGAGGGAGGGGGACGCGTCCGGCCGCGGTGGCTCACCTAAGGCGGCGACTCGGCTGGCGTCCGCGGCCTGCGGCGGTCACGCGCGCCCCGAGCGCCGCATCCCGAGCCCGGAGCGCGCGCGGCGGCGGCGGCCGGGGATGCGCGCGGGGGAGCCGCGCGCCTGGGGCAAGGTCACCCCTGCCAGGCGGGCGCGGGGCTGCGGGCTGCGGTGTGCGGGCTGCGGTGTGCGGGGCCGAGCCTCAGCGCCGGGCGCCGCCCGCACTCGCTGTCATCCCCGCGCAGCCCCGCGGGGTGGCGGCTGGGGCGCTCGGGGACCCGCTCGCTCCTCCCGGCGCTCGGGGCGCGGCTTCCCGGGGACGCGGGATTGCGCTGGCCTCGGCGGCTTTTGTGCGAGCGGGGCGGGTGGGTGGGGCCAGGGCGGCCCCGCGCGCGGTCCCCCAGCCCGCACCGCGTCCTCCCCATTGGCTGCAGGACACGCGCCTCCGCCAGCGGAAATGACTCCCCGATGGCGCAGCAAGGATGGGGGGGTGGGGGGAGGCGGCAGGGGAGGAGGGAGGAGGGAGAGGAGGGGTGCAAGGCACAAACAGATCAATAATCGGCCGCTGCGGCATCTTTTCTGAGCTGAGGGGACACACACACACACACACACACGCCCCGGGACCTCCAATCTGGCTGGATTGAGCCCCTGGGGTCGCGGGGCCACAACGCCCCCTGCAGTTGTGCGGGTGTGCGGAGAGACAAGGGGGAATGGGGAGAGGGTGGAGGATCCCGCCTCGGAAACGGGACTCTCTGGAAAGGGGAGTCGCATCCGAAGTCCCTCGACCGTCCCCCAGTCCCTAGCTTCGGGCAGCGGGGACCCCCACTGGGGCGTCCGTGCAGCCGAGGCTAGGGTGATCGCTGCGTTTTCTGGGATCTGGCCGGGCGCGGTCCGCTCTCTGCCTGGTGAGTTTCTGGGGATGGTTCTTGGTTTTGTTTTCACCCTTTTAGCGGAGGGGAGGGAGTTCTCACGTGCACCCACCCCATCCCCGGCTATGTGGTTCCGCTGAATGGGCGCTTACTGGCCAAGGCAACCTTGCGGGCAACCCACCCTCCTGCCCAGTGCCAGCCTAAATCTGGGGTCCCCCATGGAACAAGAGAGTGCAGGATCTCTGTCACCCCACCCCATGTGTGTGCGGCGCCCCCACCACCACAAAATAAACTAAAGTGAACACCCCAGTCAGGTGGCCTTCAGCTGAGGTCAACTCAACAACAAAAGGATGTACAGGCCAATGAACGAAATGGTTCCTCAGTTTCTTTTTTCTTTTTTTTTTTTTTTTTTTGGCGTTTTGGGTCATACCTGGCGATGCACAGGGGTTACTCCTGGCTCTGTACTCAGGAATCACTCCTGGCGGTGCTCAGGGGACCATATGGGATGCGGGAATCGAACCCGGGTTGGCCGCGTGCAAGGTAAATGCCCTACCCGCTGTGCTATTGCTCCAGCCCCAGGTTCCTCAGTTTCATGGACTGCAGGGAATTAACCAAATATCAAGGCCTGGAGGAATAGCGCAGGGGCTTAGAACTCATGCCTTTGCACTCCTGTGGGCATGAGTTTGAATCCCCAGCCTCCCATCAGCATCTCACATGTGGGGGTGTGGTCATGAGTTGGAATCCCCAGCAAGCCACATGCGCTAATGTGGGCATGCATTCGAGTCCCCCGTGACCCCCCTCCAAGACATGCAAGGCAAGTGTCTTACCTGCTGTACTTGAATGTGCTTTCCTTGATGAAGGTCCTGGCTTGAGCCCCTCAGCACCATGAGTAGTGACTCCTGAGCACTGTCATGTATGGCCTAAGAAATTAAAATGTGGAGGGGGGGTCATGCAGAGCATCAGTGATCTTGACATCATCCTGAGCCCTAAATTCACCTGTGAGTCTTTTTTTTTTTTTTTTTTTGCTTTTTGGGTCACACCCAGCGACGCACGGGTTACTCCTGGCTCTGCACTCAGGAGTCACCCCTGGAGGTGCTCAGGGGACCATATCGGATGCTGGGAATCGAACCCAGGCCGGGTGCGTGCAAGGCAAACACCCTACCCGCTGTGCTTTCTCTCCAGCCCCACCTGTGAGTCACTTTATAGGAACAGGGAAGACTCTCTCTTCCAGCTCCAGCCCTGCCAAGACCATGAATTCGGGCCAATGATCTGTGCCTGTGGGAGAGAGAAATAGACATTTTGGAGCAAGCCTGGGTGGCGTTTGGTCACAACAGTCACAGAAATCTAGCATGGAGTAGGGATGGGTATCTGCAACTCTCTCCCATCTAGCGGGCCAAGTGTTGGGTTCTTTCACCCCCCAATCTGTGACTTCTTCTTGTTCATTTCAACCACAGGGCCTTTATCCATGCTGTAAAGCCTTCCCCCACACACACACACACATACACACACACACACACACACACATACACACAATGTTTCTTCAGGACTCAGTTCAGCAGAATCATGCTCCCTGCCACTTATCTTACAGTTCCCTCCATCACCCTACAATCTTATCTTTATTTTTGGTTTTGGGGGCCGTGTCCAGGGATAGCCAGAGTTTACTCCTGGTGGGACTCTGGAAGTCCCAAAAATGCAAGGGGGAGAAAAGGAGAAGGTCCATGCAGAGAACATCTATGACCTTGGCATCATCCTGAGCCCTAAATTCACCTACGGGCCACTTTATAGGAATAGAAATACAGCCTATGGGATGCCCAGGATCGAACCCGTACACGGGACAGGCGTGTTGCCTGTATGAGCTGGCTGCTATCTTTAGTATAGAAGACCCGGAGGAACTAGGAGTGGTTCAGCAGGGCCCGAAGCCCTTTCCAGCAGTTCTTAGCCAGTCAGGCCAGAGGTTCGAGGCCGGGGGAATTTGGAGCAGAGCTATGGAGGCCAGTTACTCGCCGGGGGAGAATAGACGGGCAGACCAGAGAGGGCTCTGGGCAGAAGTGCCCCCATCCCGCCCCAGCGGCCAGCTGGGTAGCCCACCCCCACCCCAGCAGTCCCAAGTGTGCACCTCCCTACCCCCACCCCAATATCCCATGTGCCCCTCCCACCCCCAATATTGCAAGTGTCCCCACCCCATTCTCAAGAACCTGTCCCAGTGGTCATGCGCCCCCACCCCAATATCACGTGTGCCCCTCACCCTAGTGATCACATGCCCCACCCCAACGAACACCACCACCCAAGCAATCACGTGTGTGACCCTCCTCCCCCCCACCCCCCCAACCCCCGTGTCTCTCTGCCTCTCCCCAGCTGGTCCACGCTGGCCTGGCCTGGACTTCCTTTCTATAACTGAGAGTAGACCGGCTGTGGAGAGTCTTGGGGTCCCTCCTTGCTTGCTTGCTTGCTTGCTC